ATTGTCGTCGATGACTGGAGAGTATCCAGTGACACATCCATGTCGGATCATTGTTGGATACTCTTCAGCATTCGCGGAAAGACTACCTCTTCCCTATTTCGGAATCCGAGAAGAACTATATAGCCAAAATCTACCAGGCTAACGTCAGGTAACCTAGACAATAGTAAATCAAAGGAGATTACAACTGCTGTAGAACTAGACAAAACAGTAGATAAGCTGGGAAAAACTCTAGCCATAGTTTTTAAAAAATCCACACCAGTAAGCGTCCTTAAGAAAAAATCCTCTCCATGGTGGACGGGGGAGCTTAGGGAACACAGGTCAAATCTCAGAAAAATCTTTAACGAGTGCTACAGAACAAAACTGCGGCAGCCATACAAAGATGAATTAAGGCAGTACAAAAAATTAGTAAAGAAAGTTAAAGCGGACTCTTGGCAGTCCTATTACACATCCATAGAGAACTGTAGGGATTCCGCCAGACTAAGCAAGGTTTTGTCCAAGGAACACACCAACCCCAACCTTATTGACGGAGAGAACGGTGCATGGACACGGACAGCGGAGGAATCACTAGATACCCTCATAAAGGCACACTTTCCTAGCTGCGTTCAGAGGCCAAAAACATGGCCTCATACAAATCGTCAACTACTCTCAAAGGAGTTACTCGACTCAATAGACTCAAAATATACAAGGAAAAAATTAAGATCGCTATAAATAAATTCTAACCATACAAATCCCCTGGCCCAGATGGCATTTCCTGGCTGGAAAGGGTCTACAAAGCCAGTACCAGCTTGACATACATTCCGAAAAGCTGGAAAAGAGTCAAAGTTGTCTTCATTTCCAAACCGGGAAGAAGAAATCACGAAAAAGCAAAAGACTTCCGACCGATAAGTCTTACATCTTTCCTGCTAAAGGAACTGGAAAGACTTTTAGACCTACATATTAGGCATTTTCTGGGAAATTCCAAACTTTCCAAAGCTCAACATGCATACATTAAGGGCAGGTCAACTGAAACTGCCCTTCATGAAGTCGTGGGCACCAAAGAAAAATCACTCCATTACAAGCAGTACACTTTGGCGGCATTCTCCGACATAGAGGAGGCCTTCAATAACATTACAATCGAAGCAATTGTTCGATCTCTTGTGAAGGTGGGAACATCTGACCACATATGCGAGTGGATCGAACAAATGCTCAGAAACAGAATCATAATTCCAACCATTGGTTCAGTAACGCTATCCCGTTATGCAAATAGAGGCACTCCCCAAGGGGGAGTTCTGTCTCCGCTACTATGGGTGGTGGTACCGAACGACATTCTACTGGATCTCAACAAAAGTGGAGTGAAAGTAGTAGCATATGCAGATGATGTAGTGGTGGCGGTATCAAGTCTCTTCCCCTCAACGATTAGTGAAATCCTAGAGGGAGCTTTGCTTCGGCTAAACACCTGGGCTACAAAAAGTGGGTTGGGTGTCAACCCTAGCAAAACGGAACTGATGTTGTTCACCAATAAATCAAATATACCACACTTCAGGCTTCCCTCCCTTAATGGAACGCCTCTCACATTGTCCTCCGAGGCTAAATACTTGGGTGTCATATTAGATACCAAGCTGAGCTGGAAGACAAATATAGATAGGCGGGTTGAGAGAGCCTATACAGCTTATTATACATGTTAAAAATGTTCAGTAGGAACTGGGGATTGAAGCCAAAGCTTATCCGCTGGATATACACGGCTATCATACGACCAATACTAACGTATGCGGCGTTAGTTTGGTGGCCAGCACTAGATAGACAATACAACGTCAGGAAATTAGGCAGTATACAAAGAGCAGCTTGTGCAGGTGCTACAGAGGCAATTAAGTCGTGTCCATCTGATGTGCTTAATGTAATCCTGCATCAACTACCCAAAGAGTCAGGCTGCTGGAGGGCGCTGCAGCATGGCCATAGTGGTATCCTTGACAAGCTTATCGAATCAGGGAAACAATCAGATTATATACCTCCTACGACAGATGTCAGGAAAAGCGTCCAGGTGAAGTGTCCTTCAAGTNAGGCAATTAAGTCGTGTCCATCTGATGTGCTTAATGTAATCCTGCATCAACTACCCAAAGAGTCAGGCTGCTGGAGGGCGCTGCAGCATGGCCATAGTGGTATCCTTGACAAGCTTATCGAATCAGGGAAACAATCAGATTATATACCTCCTACGACAGATGTCAGGAAAAGCGTCCAGGTGAAGTGTCCTTCAAGTCGGGATTGGAGTAGGGGCAGGATAGTCGAGGAGAATTCCACTGAAATCTATACTGACTGGTCCAAAATGGACTGCGGTGTGGGTGCGGGGGTGTTCTCTGAAACGCTGAATGTCTCTCTCGTTTCGACTACCTAACTTTGCTAGCATCTTCCAAGCGGAAGTACTGAGCATCAATAGGACCTGTAAGCACTAGAGAGGAACTGCGTAGGTGTACGAAAAGCATAAATTTTTTCAGATAGCCAAGCGGCACTTCTGGCTCTTGCCTCACCGGTAACAAAATCCAAAACAGTCAGAGATTGCAAATGTGCGTTAAGCTCTGCGGCCAAGTTAATAGACATCACTCTCATCTGGGTTCCCGGCCATAGGAACATACACGGAAATGACAGGGCTGACGAGTTGGCTAAGCNCCGGTAACAAAATCCAAAACAGTCAGAGATTGCAAATGTGCGTTAAGCTCTGCGGCCAAGTTAATAGACATCACTCTCATCTGGGTTCCCGGCCATAGGAACATACACGGAAATGACAGGGCTGACGAGTTGGCTAAGCCCGGAGCATCTTTGGATGAATCCGAAGCAGAAACTATAAATTGTCCACTCGGACTCAGCAAAAGGGAACTGAATCTGCAATTCACGCGTATGGCTGATACACGTTGGAACAACGTTCTAACCTTCAAAACTGCGAGGAACATATGGCCGCACTATGACAAGCCAAAGACAAAAGAACTTCTCAAGAGGTCGAGGAATATAGTGAAATTAATAGCCACGATAATGGGACATTGGCCCATTGGTGAACATGCAGCTAAAATGGGCCTTCCGTATAACCCTCGGTGCCGTAGCTGTAATCTTGTAGGAAGTAAAGAAACGGTCCTTCTCTATCTTTGCGAGTGCCCAGCATTGGCACAAATAAGGCAAATCACACTTCGGGAGTTTTTCCATCCAAAATCTTGGGGAATATTCTAAATTCACTATTACTAACCTGAATAGATTCATCGGAAAATTCAAATGGTTTGACGAACCCAACGAATCATGAAAGGAAATAAAATCAGGAGTCCCAGAGAAAGCGTATCAAAATGGTGCTTTCAGCACTAATTGGGCCCTAGGAATGTACCCAGGCGAACCTTCTACCAACCAACCAATTCAAAAATGACTTAAAAAATTCAAAGAAGAGAAGAAGTATGGGTATCAAATTAAAGAGGAGATCCTGCAGAATTTAAGCAGATTCAAGTTTTTGGTGCAAAAGCACTGGTAAGTATTGAAAGTGTCCCTTAAAATTTTATCCTTGAAACTTTACGATATCTGTTTAAAAAAAAATATATGTTAAGGACTTACATAAACTACTACCTCGAATTTCGTCCTTCTAGCTTTATCAGCTTAAAAAATTACCTACTCGTCCTTGTGAATCCAAAATTTTTAAACTTTTTAAATTCTAAAGAAATTTCCTCTTGAATTTAGGACCCATAGTTTTGTTCTACATTGCATTGAATTTTTACATAATTTTTGGAATAACATCATATCTTTGAAATTGCAAAGTCCTTTAAAATAAATCCTGACGTCAGAGAGAAAAAATAAAATAAAAAAGTAGGTTTCAAACCCATTTATTTATTATTTATTTTATGGAAGGAGAGCTTCTCAAACAATATAGAAGCATTTTTTTCGATTTTAGTTGTTGAAAAATAATGTATATCTAATTCCCGGGACTAATCCCGGGATCACGGGATTGTGATAACGACATCCCGAAAATCCCGAGATCGGAAAAAGCTGAAAAATTAACATCGCTAATACCGATGTATACAAGAGCTGAAAAATTAACATCCCTAATACCGATGTATACAAGAGCTGAAAAATTAACATCCCTAATACAGATGTATACAAGCATTAGTTCATTTTGGTTGAGGCGTAACAATGCCCACACCGGCGGATGAAATACTAATACTTAAAATAGGTAACTGTAAAACAGTGTAAATTAGGTTCAATATACATTTTGTTAATTGTTTTAATTGATACTAAAACCACATGATACATTTGATAATTTGTTGGATTTTTCCTGATATTTTTTGAGATATTTAATTGAGAAAAGCAATACTTATTTGTATTTATTTTTGGTAGTAGAGCGATACGTTGTAAGTTCAATTGAATCTCTTCCTTTATTTATCATTCTTACAAACTTTAAAGTTTTCAATAAAAAAAATTTTCAAAATTCTAAAAAATTCGAATTAAATTAAATTTGTACCAACAAATTTCGAATCGAATAATGGAATGGTTGGTCGATGTTCGAAATTCGGAGCTTTGTTTCTTAACAGATAATTATCACAAATTATCACTAATTTCTGCTGGAAAGCGTTTCTTAACCCAAAAAACTAGCAGAAACTAGCATTTTTTGGGCTCTCCTGCTAATTTCTGCTAGTAAAATTTTTACTCCGCATAAAAAATCCAGTGAGTCAATATTAAGCAAAAAAAAAAACAATTTATTTCTTCACTTCAATACTTATTATTCCATGTAAAACTGAACATTAATGAAATAAATAAAATTTTATCTGTACTTTAACAAAAAAAAAATACCACAATAAATACATGAATTATGTAAAAATACAAAGACAAATTATTTATCAGAAGCATTGTCTCTTAAACACTGAAGAAAAAAAGCCATAAAACCTCTCAAAAAAGCAAAATCGCTACAGCGAAAAAATGCATAAATTCAAATCCGCATAAAAAGAGACCTAAGTGTATATGTTAATCCGTCATTTACTAGAAAAGTGTCATAATCCAAAAAATCAAAAAATCTGGTTAAACTTGCAAAAATTAACGTTATCTATTTCCTACGATATGTAAAAATTGCATAGCTGTAACGATTACCAGCAGTCATTAGAACAAAATATGTATTAATTTTTCCCCAAGGAATATATGAGCCATTTGTAGCGCCAGCGTTTTGTTTAGTGTAAGTGTGTATCCCTGGACGTGCTTCGTTAGTCGATTCGACTAACAAAAATCGTGTTTCGCTTCGTACCTCTCTCTGAAGTCATTTACCATTTTGTTTATTATATGTAACAGAGAAAATAATATGTATTTAATATTTTGGTTATGTGTTTGAAAAACTATAAAGAACTAAAATACATTTCAAGACTTTTTCATGTTTGTTATTTCAATTCAAAGTTGGTGTTAGTCGTTTCGACTAACAAGCCCGCATACAGGGTCAAAAGAACGAAGCACTTCCAGGGGTATGTATGCGTTTGCCGGAGGTCAGAAAAATAATTACCTAGCTAGAATTTCCTACTTCATTCAACTAAACCCTCAACATCCTAATCCCAGTATTTTCAATATGGTGCGAAACCGTACTAACACGACGACTCGGTAAGGCAGTTATGAGTAAGGATGTGTGCGTGAGTGTGTGAGTATGGCCAAGCGTAGGGCTGCCAGATATCTCCGTTGGCAAACCGGGACACTTTGGAAAATCTAACACCACAACCGTCCTCCCTTCCTTTCCTTTAGACAAAAATTACTTACGTACGAAAGTATGTAGTAAAATTTTATTTTGGCAAGACAAAAACAAAACCATAAAAAGATGAGATCATTTCAACGTACTAAAGTTCAAAATAAACATATAGTGTCGCCCAAAATTATTGGCACAATGCATTCAACATTTGTTTGCTTTAATTTTTTATAAATACATATACTACATCAAAAAAACAAAAACAGAATTTCTAGACTTTGTGCGAAACTCGGGAAAATTCAATAAATTATCATACAAATTTGTAACTTTCTAATCAGACTTTTTATACAAATTTTGAAAAGACGTTTTGTGGCCCAACAATTTTAGTCCCTTTTTGATAATCTTTTGCTGACAGCTTCTTCCATACAAACTATGTTCGACAATTCTTTTTGTATGAAAGAAACTGCTACATTTCCAATATTTTTCTAAAAGATCTGATGAAAAATTCTCTGAGCCAATAATTTTGTACGGCACTGTACTTATAAGTACACTAGTTTTCATGAAAAAAAATTTAAATACAAGATAACATTAAAAAATCAGTCATATTTTTCGTTGTTGTGAACTTGTTTGTTGTTGACTTTTCCTTAATATAATTTTAAAACTCTGTGCACGTCATTCAACGCATTTTATGTACTTATATTGAGCAAATTTTTTTCCTTAATCTATTCAGATGAAATAAGAAAAAAACATTGATCCACATTAGGTGTATTAAACAAGGTGTGGATGACAATTCAGTGAGGCTCTCTTTTAAGGTACTATAACTTCAAAAAATATAAACAAATGACGCACTCTTCCGTGTAAGCGGAAAGGAATTTATACGGTCTCTTTGGCATTTTCTAAGGGTAATCAAAACTCTATAAACACACTTTTTTATATTCTATAAACTTTGTCGCGAAAACTTACTTTAGAATTAAAGCCCATCCGAAAAACAAACGAGCAAAACAAATAAAAAACAGCTGATGCTAATTAGGAGGGGCGCTTTGCACTTACAGGTATGTATGTGGGTATATCGATCATCAAATATTGCTTGTACAAAGTCCAACTATCTGGAGATGTAACTATATCACAAAAGGCACCGGTAGTGATTTTTGAACTTTTATTACATTTGTGCATTTAAATCGAAAACCGGGACACTTAAACGAAACCCGGGACATCTTAAGGTTGGACCGGGACATCGGGACAAATGGTCTAAAACCGAGATATGTCCGGGAAAACCGGAACGTCTGGCAGCCCTAGCGAAGCGGAACTTTGGGCATGCGCAAGTGGATGAAGATGAGTGGTTTTCTCAGTCGTCCCTATAAAAGAGTAGAAGTATGCCAACGGGATCAATAAAAAAGTGGTGGCAGTGTAGTATGTTATTTCTAAATAGTGCGCGCTTAAGTCCGTTTAACAAATCGTAAAAACTAAATACAAACAAGTAAGAAAGTCTAAGTTCGGGCGGAGCCGAACATTAAATACCCGGCGCAAGTATTAAATATATGTTTTTTCACCTTTCCGAAACCTTCCGCTAGATGGTAAGCCGGGGTGTATCAATTTTGAGTAAATTAGCGTCCTTCAATTTCGAAATATTGAAGTTTCAAGCATTTCTGAAATTTACCGTTATATGAGAAGCGGCCGTTATTTTAGTCCGATTTCAATAATTTTCAACGTTTTGCTTATATGTGGCAAGCACAATAACCACACCGAGTTTGGTACAAATTGGTAGAACGGTTACCGATATACTTATATGTGATCATAAGTGGGCGGTGCCACGCCCATTTTCCAAAATTTTACCATAAACGTATTTCTTGGTAA